GCGGTGCTGAGCACCCTCGGGCTGGCCTCCCCCTCCCCAACCTCGGCCTGGGTGCGTGGGGACGGGGCGCAGAGAGGCCCCGGCTGCCCCTGGGATGAAGCTCGGGCAGGGTTGCTCCCTGTCTCAGGTCTCCTTGAAACCCCTGAGCTTCCAAAGCCGTCGTTCATTCACGGCAGCTGTTTATTCCAGCCAAGCTTGTCCTTCCCCCCGGCGGATCCCAGTTCTGCTCTACTTCCCTCCAGGCCCTTCGGTTTAGGACAGCAGCTTATCTCAGCTGTGGCCTCTCACAAGCCGCAGCAAGCCCACGGGTGACCCACAAAGAGCACCAGGGGCTTTCAGCCCTTGGGGAGATGGCCCATCCCGTCCTTCGCCCTAGCCTCACGCCCGCGGTGGGTGGCCTCGGGCAAGGCCAAAAACGGGTCTCTGGGCACGGTTTGGAGAAGCCCGGCCGGCAGCAGAAGACAACGGGAGCCGGGGCAGGGCGGCCCAGCAGCCCCTTTCCTCAGAGGCTAAATGTCACCCATCTCGGTGGCTCTGCCGCGCGGAAATGGAGGCGCCGAAAAGCCAGGGCCGCTTCTGTGAGAGCTTTTCGGCAGCCCTGGTAAGGTTTGGCAGCTCCCGGCCGTGATCTTTCAGGATGACTTGCACAGCTCTCAAAAACAGCTGTATTTGAAAACAACCCTCTCCAGTCTTGGTTTCCCTCAGGTTCCCTTGTGGGGCAGGAGATTTTCATCACGGGGCAGGAGGGAAGGAGGATGGACGCGATCCTGGGCAATACGCTCTAGGTGACCCTGCTTGAGCAGGGAGGTTGGACTAGATGATCTCCAGAGGTCCCTTCCAACCTCAACCATCCTGTGATTCTATGGAGGTTAGGACGAATGAGGGAGATGCTCGGGAGATGCCAGGGCTACAGAAATGCTAACCATTATTTTAAATTTCAGCAAATTGGAGCCGGAGGTTAATTCTGTCCCTCAGGGGCAGCTGTGATCCTTCCTGACTCCCTACCCCAGTGCACGTGATCAGGGCATCTCCTGTCCCCACCAGTGGCACGTCCCCGCTACGGGCTGGGGGACGCAGCGCGGCCAGCCGCGGGCTCCCTGGCGCAGGGATGCTCAGCCCTCGTGGTAGCACCTGGGGACAGGTCAGAGCCCGTGCTGAAGCCCTCCCCACCTCCCTGCCCGGAGCAGACCGCGTTCAGGCAAGAGACGCCCTCTGACTCCCCCAACCTCTTCTGCCTTCCCAGGCCATGGAGAGCAAACTGCTCATCGGTGGCAGGAACATCATGGACCACACCAACGAGCAGCAGAAGATGCTGGAGCTGAAGCGGCAGGAGATAGCTGAGCAGGTAATGGCTGTGTTCGTGGGGGGCTGGCCCAGCTTCTGTCCACAAAACCTGAGGCCAGACCCATCCTTGCTGCTCACGGGCAGATCTCCTGCCATGCCCGTTCCCTCCGACATGGCACTGGCCGATCAGCAGCCCCTGCTGCTCCAGTGTGCCACCTTAAAGGTGGCAAACTAACTCTTCCAGATGCTGCCGACCCCCACAGGAGCCGGCACACGCAGGTGGGTCTGTAACCGGATGGTCCTAGGGCTCTGCCCAGGCACCAGGCGACACTGCAAGCTCAGCAACACCGAGCATTGGCTCCCGTCTGCCAGAAAGGGAAACGAGCTTGAAAGCAGCTGCCTTAGGCTCCAAGGCAAGGGTTTCTGAAGGGGATTCGGTTCCTTGTCCCATGCTGAGCTCTGTGCATTTTTCTCCTTGCTGCAGAAACGCCGGGAGAGGGAGATGCAGCAGGAGATGTTGCTGCGGGATGAGGAAACCATGGAGCTGAGGGAGACTTACACATCTCTGCAGCAGGAGGTGGAGATCAAAACCAAAAAGCTGAAGAAGGTGAGAGAGCACAACGGGCCTTAGCAGTGGAGGGGTGGGCTTTGTCGGGGATAGCAACGCCGGGGAATTGCTGCTTGGCCCATATTATAAGGGATTAGAGGGGGGTCTGACCTGCTCCCTGTACGCTGAGCAAAGCACCCGCCAGATATGCAGCGGTTTATGCTGGCTGCTGCAAGTCCATGGAGGCACGTGGCTGGTAGAACTTCAGTGTGTGCCACCAGGGACAGTACAGGCTGCTCAGGCCGCTGCGACCTGCTCCCAGGACCTGCTAGCCTGGATGAAGCTCTGAGGGCTACGACCGTGTCCCCGGCTGAGCCAGGGCACGCTTGGTCTGCAGCTCTCAGAGCCCACAGGCAATAGGTAGCACCTGCGCTAAGGCACAAAAGACACTGAGGCTCTCCATCCAGCAGGCCCCAGGGAGGCAGCGGTTTCATCTAGGCTTGAGGGTCTACAGGGCAGGTGGTGGGCAGGTCAGACTTGAGAGCAGGCTTGAACTCCTTAGCTGAGTGGGCACGGGACAGGCTTCCCCTGGCTTGCTCTTGGACACACTCTGCTGGAAGGCTCCGTTGGACCTGTCCTTCAGGCCACCAGAGCCTCAGGGTTTTCGGCAGCCAGCAGGCTTGTCCGAGGCACAGGGCAAACTGGGGCAAAATCCCAGAAGTGGCTCAGGGGCACAGGTGCTAACTGAAGTCCTCTTCTCTGTCTCCCAGCTGTATGCCAAGCTGCAGGCTGTAAAGGCAGAGATTCAGGATCAGCACGACGAGTACATCCGAGTCCGTCAGGACCTGGAGGAGGCACAAAACGAGCAGACGCGGGAGCTGAAACTCAAGTAGGTGTTCCTTCTCCTTCCTGGGAACGGGTGCATCATCGCTTTTGGCCACCCACAGGCAAAGGGAGGACGGGGTCCATGGCTGGAGGGAATGATACTCTTATTGACAGGGGTAACAAAACTCTTCCTATTCCATCAGTAATGGCAGAAGAAGGTGTTAAATACATTTAAACCTGTCGAGCTAGATGACTTTTAGGCAAGAGTATTAAAATAACTGCTGGAAAAGGTTTTGAACTATTAGGGTTCATTTTTTACCAAACCTGGACTGGGAGAAAAAGCTGATGTAGCTCATATATTTTAAAAAAATCGAATCTGACAGCACAGCTACCTATTGACAGCTTAGTCTGACCACAGTTTGTGCTAAAAACATAGAAAGCCAATACTGAGTTTCTGACAGCAAATGGGAAGGACAACGGTGTAATGAACGCAAGTGAGCTATAGAGAGTTTTTGACTTAAAACTACTTTGAAAGACCATAAAAACCGACAGAAAAGGCACTGTGAAGTCAAGATGGGCTATAAACTGGTTAACCGACAGCGCAATCGTAGTCGGAAATAAATATTCCCTAACAGGCGATACCTGGGGACCGGGTCTTGCCCAAAAGCTATCTTTATTAATGGTGTAGAAAACTCATACAGTAAAGTCATTGTGGAGGAGAAACGCAGATGACTTAGAGCTGGCGGAGCGGTGGGGCCAGGTCAGTCGGGCTCATCAGAAAAACACAGCGAAATGCAAGATCGGGTGCCGAGGACAGTGGTGGGAGGGCAGCTGCTGGGGACCCTGGTGGGGTCCCAGTCTCTCTGGTGAGCCCAAGGCTCAAGGGTGCTCCCAGCACGGCGGTGTCACCCACGACAGCCGGGTAGTATTTCTCCTTCAGAAACTTTCCACCAGGAAATGCAGATTTCATGCAGGAGTTGCGTTTAATGGATCTGTTTTCAGTTCAAGTGGTTATTGAGGTTTTTTGGAAAAAAATTAGAAAATTTATGAATATTTTGGCCTTTTCAAGACAAAACGCTTTTTGCTAGAAACAAAATTTCATTTTGAATATTGCTACATTTTCCTTTGAACATGATTAAAACTTCTTAAAACCCTGCAGACTCAAATAAGACTCAATTTGTCTACCTGAAACTATTTTCTATAGCTTCTCAGTTTGTTCCCCCCCCCCAAAAATGTGAAAAAATTCCCTTTGGGGTCAGTTTTATGTGATTGTGTTTCCCTTTTTTCCCTTCTGGTCTGGCAGCTCTGCAGCAGGCAGACATAATGTGGTCCTCGGCTGTACAAGGAGCAGAGTGAATATCACTTCTGAAGGTGTTCTGCTGGGACAGCAGGACCAGTTCTGATTTCCATCCTCCAACGGGATTTTGAAAATGAATTAAGCCTTAAAGAAAACAAAACAAAACAAAAAAAAAACCCAAAAGGCAAAAAAAGAATGATCCGGGGCTGAGAGGAAATAACTCTTACGAAGAATGACATTGCTGGCCTGATGCAAGAGCCGCTGAGTGACTCTTTGGCCTGATTTAGGCAGGTCGCTGTAATTCTGACCTTACCAAATATAGTTGACATGACTCAGAGACCTGGGCAAGTAACCAAGGATTAAGGTAGCTTTGCTCTGAAAGGAGGATTGGGAAGAATTTACCGGTTGGTATCCAGAGCCGGCATGGACAGGCTAGCACTTTGCACGTGAATTAGGCAGGGATAAATGGATAAGCGGAGGAAGCGGCTGACTTTTAAAAGCCAGCTCAACCTGCTGCTGATAGAGGAACTTGGGTGCTGGCCCCCGGGGCGCTCTCAGGAAGGACAAGCTGCCTCCAGCCAGGTCTCCAGGCCTTCATGCCCCCTGCCAGGTCTGGGGGCCGTGCTCTGCCTGCAGGGGGTTTCCCATGCTGTGTGAATTAGTTCCCTCGTTTGCAGAGCGCTTTGAGGGTGCAAAGCGCCAGACAACGTGCGCTAAGCATTGCAGTGGCTCAGGGGACTCATTTCAGGGAACGGACTGGTCAGGAAACGCAGGGTTATTGTCAGAAAGGAAAGCTTTTAGAGCTGATGATGTTTCTTCCGCTCCCCTCTGAACGATAGTCTTCCTCTGCCCTTTCTCTCCCCTGTCTCGCTCGCTCGCTGCCTCTCTCGCCTTTTGGGTCTATTGCTTCAACCTCTTTGTTTTCACCTGCTCCTCTCCTCCTTTCCCACCCTGCACTCATGCTACCATCTTCTGGCTATTTTTCTGTTTCCCTGCACATCTCCCTCTTTTTCTGACCATCCCTCCCCTTCCTTTCTGCTTCCTTCTTCTCCCTTTCCTTCCTGTTTTCTATTATTTGTCACATTAACTCCTTCCTTCCTTGTTCTTTCCTACCCTGTTGCTCCTTGCCCTTTCTCTCTCCTGACATGTTATTTGCTCAGGTACTTGATCATTGAGAATTTTATCCCACCGGAAGAGAAGAATAAAATCATGAATCGCCTGTACTTTGACTGTGAAGAGGACCAGTGGAAGTTCCAGCCGCTTGTGCCTGCTGGAGGGTACGTCTGTGGTTCAGGGAGGAAAACTTGGCTCCCAGCTCTGCTCTCTGCAGCAGTATTGCCTCCCTGCTAGCCTGCGAGCTCAGGGGGAAGCTCTAGAGAACGGGTACAAGAAGCTAGGCCTGGCCTCTGCCTGCAGCAGTGGGACATCTTAGGGAAGACCTGGAACCTGGGGATGTGGTGCCGCTGACAGCGGGGATCCAGGAAAATACCGCAGCTCTCTGCTGATGGAAATGCACTCCCACGTCTGCCAAGTCTTGGTCATGTGAGAAAGGCCAGGAAGGGCTATTCTTCAGCATTCTGAATTCAGAGAGGGGTAGAGAAGCTTAGTTCTCCACTGTTTGGACAAATTTATTTTCTAATAAATGTTTCTCTCTTAATTTATTTTCAGAAACAGCAGCCAAATGAAGAAGAGGCCTACCTCTGCAGTGGGCTACAAGAGACCCATTAGCCAATATGCCCGTGTGGCCATGGCTATGGGATCTCATCCTAGGTACCGGGTAAGTGGGAGGACATTGGTGCACACCTGGGTGGCAAGAAGTCATTTGATCAGGGGAGGAACAGGTGGATGGATGGATGGATAGATGGAATAAATAAGCTTGTGATAATTTGAGACACTTAGATGAAACTCCCAGCTTTAGAAACCTCAACCTCATTTGCCAGGATCAACAGCTGTGCCTATTGACCGATCCTTGAACGGCTGGCTCACTGACTCAGGCAGCCCTTGTGATTAGACTGAAAGGATGGGGGCCGTTCAGTCTTGTCTCTGCTGGATGCAGTGCCATGAAAGACCTGAACAGCCCAAGTAGGCCAGGGAGCCTGGCCCCAGTTTCAGAGCTTGCCTTGTTGCTGCTCTAATCAGAAGAGTTTCCCTCTCCCTAGTGTGTAGTTCAGCTTCTCTCAGCAGTTCAGTTCAGCAGTGTTGATCTGCCTCAGTTGGTACCATGTTTTGCCTCACAGTGACTTCCCATGTTGGCTTTCTCTTTGCCCTGTCCGGCTGCAGGCTGAGAACATCATGTTCTTGGAGCTGGACCTCTCCCCTCCAGCCGTGTTTGAGTTTGAACGGACCAGGGACCCGGCTGAGCAGGACCCACGAGCTCTCCACCTGGAGAGGCTGATGCACCTGGACAGCATCCTAGAACGGCCAGCAGCCTCCAGGGTGAGGAAGTCTAGGTCCTGGTAAGTGCTCGACAGGATGGTGGAATGCACTGATGCCACAGAGCTGGTTAAGGCAAGGATGCTGACGTGCTGGGGAGCACATGGGCCAAAGAAGTCACAGCAGAGAGGAAGCTGCAAACCCAAAGCTGCAGGCAGCTGTGGGCCCTGGCATTGGGAATGGAACGGTGTCTCCTGCCAGCTCGCCCCCGTGTCTATCCCCCTGCAAACCATCCTCGCCTGGGGCCTTTTCAGCTCGGGGGCCACGGAACCTGTCCACTCGGCAGCTGTGCCCTCTGCCGTGCCCTCGCCTCCACCGTGACCCCGTACCCATGAGTCAGACTCTAATTAATTAGTTTCTCGTCTGGCACACTCACTGCAGTCAGGATGTCTCCCCAGAGCTGCCAGAGGACAGCGTTTGTGCTAGGACCGTATTACAGGAAGCCGTTTCCCGTTTCTATTTTGAGGCGGACTGAGCAGCCCGAGGGGAACCTGGGCCAGAATTTTTGAATCTGAAGACTAACACCTAAGTTGCGTTCAGACATTTAAATTACGGGTCAGCAGGCTCCCCTATTCTCCTGGTTCTTCTTGGGTTTGAAACTAGCCTTGAACTGTTAGTGTGAGATTACATTTAAAAAAATGGTTAATGTTACTTTTGTAATGGTTGTTAAATGAGTATTAAAGACAGGACAATGATATAAGAAATATAAAAGGTATTGTGCAGTCCAGCACTGGATTTCCCTTAGTGCTGCTTGCTTCTCAGCAAGTCACTGGGAAAATGGCTGGACTTCTGGCAGAAGGGGAGAATAAGAGACAGAGGAAGGACAAGGAAAACAAGCTTTCTCTTTTTCTCACCCCCTTCCAGGTGCCAGACCCCACGGTCACTGCCATCCTCAACCACGCATGTTTCCCTCACCTCCAGTTCCCCGCGCACCTCCACGATGCCAGCTCAGGAGTGACATCCTGGACCCCCTTGTCCCTGACACCTTCACACAACAAAGACTGTGCCCCGTGGACGGCTGCCTTCCAGCACGAGGGGCCAAGGAAGGGGCCCCAGCTGGCCGCATCTCCATCAGTCCCAGTTCGTCTTTGTCTTCAGCTACTTTGTGTGCGCGTGTGTTTGTGTGAGACATTCATAAGCAGCTCCCAGCGGGATGAGAGCTGCCCCCTCTTTCCTTCTCACCCCCCACCCCCCTAATCTGGATCTGTCACTTTATTTATTTAATGTATTTATTTATGGAGTGGTTGATGATGCAGAGTCAGGAGGCGCATTCAGACTGCAGGACATCCAAGGCTAGCAGTGCGCACCATGCAGATGACTTCTCTGGTAGTCTCAGCTCCCGCCTCTCCCCACAACACTGTTGCAACAACCGTGCAAGACCGGAACCTGTACCAGGAATGCAGCTGGAGTGGGTGCGAGCTGCGTTTCCTTTGTGCCACCGATGTACTGCCCACCTCTAATGTACAGTTGTATTCCTCAGAGCAGATGAGAGAGAGCAAGCTCCCTCACTCTGATGGCTTTGGCACAAGATGAGACAACTCAGAACTCTCCATGCTACCGTTTGCTTTGCTGGATCCCACCCGAATTTCCGGGTTTATGCACCCGGTCATGGCAACTTCTACAGGAATTTGGAGACTTTCTCGTGGTAGAATCTTAAGTTGGGCTTGTTAAAGACCAAGAGAGACTCTCCATGCTGCATCAACAGTGGTGGCAGCAATGACATCTCACTGACTTCTGGGCATGACTGTCACTCTGTGAATGCCAGCTCAATCCACAAAGAGGGGTTGCAAATTAACCAAACAAAGTCAGTCTCAATACTCCTGGGACTTTGTTCATCTGTGCCACCTTCTGGAGATGGCCGGTCCTGCCCTGTTAGGTTGTCTGACATCCAATTTGCTTCAGTCCTTGACTAAGTGGGTGTATAACTCGTTAGAGCAAGAACAGCAGATGGAAATCTCCATCCCAGTCCACCGACCCCTCCCAAAGAAACACAGAGCTTGGGGAGCAACATTATCAAACTAAGTGAAACCAGAGAGGACATTGTCCACCATCCTGGCAACTAAAGGCAGTGAAGAAATGCAGGGCAAATTGGTGATGCCAGGAGAAGTGGCTCTCCTCTGGGCTGGGTAATATTACACAGCATTCATGTGATAGTCTGGAGAACATTTCTGGCCACTGCATGGGCTGCGGAGGGGGAGATAATGGATATGAAATGGATAATGCATAAGAGAGGGACAAGCAAGAGATGGATGAAAAAGGGGCAAGCAATAAAGAACCTGTCTGGCACAAAGCAGAGAAATTTAAAACCCATCTCTGAAAGTGCCAGGCCAGCAACTTGGGCATAGGAAGCTACAGTCTACCTGGGATGGCTTTCAGGTGTGTGGCGATGGGGGTGATCAAGTTGTTTTACAGAATGCCAATGAATGAGAGAGTGACTCACCTGGTTCATGCGGGAAGATATGGGTCTTGAAATGGATATATTCTGAAGCTGGTCACTGGGGAGGCAAAAGTGAAAAGAGTATAGGTAGGAACACTGTTTTCTAGAGATCAAGAGAATTTCCCTTTGAGGACTGTTCATGACTCATCCTGATGCCTCCTGCACTTAGGACCTCTTCCAGGCCCTGTGGGAGGGAGGGAGAGGAATGAGGCAGTGAAGTGGACAGGAGATATCAGTTGCATCTACTTTAAAGCAGTGATAGTCCTACCTAAAAACGTCCCAGCAGCACTCTCCATGTGGCTGGGCTGTGGGGTGAACAGACCTTCAAGCTGTTCTGACACGTTCCCTGCTCTACTGTTCCTCTTTCTTCTGTAACATCATCCTGCCTTGCATTCTTGATCTTTGCCCTGTGCTACCATCTTCCCTTCCCTGCCTATATCCCATAACACCTTCTGCCTCTCTGAAATCTTTGTCCTTCTTCTCTCCTATTCCAGAGGGAAGTAACTGAGTTGAGGATTATTTTGAGAAGCTGTAGGCTGCTCCCTCCTCCTAGGACTGAACTTATTCCCTCAAGCAGCAGCTGGGTCTGTTCCTTCCATCCACAAGACCTGCTCAAAGTTCAGAGAAGCCTAGTCCCAGGCACTGTAGCTATGGAGAGCAAAGGCCCATCCTTGCAAAGCCCCCTGCTATTTAAAAGAACCCATCATGTGGTAGGATGTTGAATTGTCTCATGGGTTTCCATCCGAACACAAGCTTGCCTTGAAATCCTATATGTGGACAGGGAATCAAAGAGCGAACGTAGGTTCTGTCGGAGTGAGGCTGCACGGTGGTGGAGGGAAGGGAGTCACCGTGAAGGAAGAGTGCCCAAGCCTCCTCAGCACAGGATATGGCCGTGGAACTGGCCTGTCCCACCATCCTCTTTCACAGATGGAGGAGAAGGGTGTACAAGGAAGGGAGTTTTAGGAGCGGAAGACTGTTGTCTTTCACAGATTATGGTGTGTTCTTTATGTCCACAAACGCCACCAATACCCAGTGTACTGTCCATATACATCACATGAAGCATATTGGCTCTGGAACTTATGAAACCCATTGGACCAAAGAGACCCACTTCTTTCTCTCTTTCATTTTCAGGCTATCCTCTGGGAGTAAGGGTCAGAAAGTATAGACCTAAGGAAGGGAAGAAATTGTCTACAGGGCAGCCTGCAGAAATATTCTTCTTCCTTTCTTTCTTGGTTTTGCAGTTTCCCATGTTCACCTTCAGCCAGATACACAGCTAGCTAAGGCCTGACATGGTGAACAGGTGACAGATTCTCATTTACCACCATTCTCTGTCCGGAGCACAGGAGATAAAGCTCAAGAGAAGATAGTTTCCTCTCGTTCCCCCTTGCTTATCCCAGGCCATGGTACGTCTCCCACAGCACCCAGTCTCCAGAGGGACTTTCCTGTGCCACGGCAAAGGACACAGTTCCGACAGACTGTGGCCACAATGGGATCCACATGGAAACCCTCCCAGCTGTGTCAGTCATCCCACCGGACACACCTCCCGGCTGGTGACAGGCATCAGAGATTTGACACAGACTGTGGGTGTTAGGATGCATCACTTGCCCTGCTCTGAATTTGGCTTTTGGGGCTTTTATGTTCTAGGAAGGCCCCACAGCTAGATGTCCCCTGTTGATGGTGTTAAGACAGGCATGTGTGGCTGTGTGCATGCATGTGATGAGTATCTGTGTGCAGAGAACAGGGGTGAGTTGCTTTCAATGTCCAAGTGCTGCTTTCGACGCCTCTGCTGTGTGTAGGTCTGAAAAATCTCATGTGCGCTCTCTTTCTCTACCCGCTGCTGCCAAAAACCTCACAATCTTCTCAGCACAAAACCCAAGGAAGGTTGTAAATATATAGTGATTATTTAAGATGAGAAGCAACAAGCTAGCACTGGTGTCTTCCCTCTGCCTTGGTACAACAGGCTGGGTCACTCCACAGCCTCACTGCATTGCTGCAACAAACTCAGATGTATATTTGTAATGTTCTTTGTTCTTTGTATGTTGGTGTGTATGTATTTACATATGAATGTATGTGGGTGGGTGTGTGGGTGCGAGCTTGGGTATGTAGCCGGGGATCTATTTACCTTCAATGTGAGTGACTGTACAGGGGGGCAAATTCCAGAGGGGGTTGGTGGGCTGGGTTTGGGCTTTTTTTTGTTTGTTTATTTAGTGGGGTTTTTTTGTTTGTTTGTTTCAGATTTGGATTTTTTTTTTTGCAGGGCGTGGGTTTGGGTCTGTTTTGGATTGATTGACAAGGTGAGGGCCTTGATTAGGACCAAATTTTCGTGCCTGTTGCTATGGTGATTTATTTAGAAATCAAAAGTTTACTGTATGGTGGCCCATCCTTGTCACTCTATACATATAATATACAGGACATATTATAAATATATATATATTATACATACTGTATGGAGAGAGGTCATTAATCTCACACCCCCTCCCCCCCCGGCTTTGGATGGACACCTCTTCAATATTCTGTAATGTAGCTTTGACTCCGTGCTGGAAACGAACAGAAAGTGCCAGCACCCTTCAAAAAGCGGCAATGACAACAATAAAGGAATGAGCATCGTTGCAAAGAATGCCTGTAGCCTCATTCATTCGCAGCTCTTTCCAGCAGGAACCCACTAGAATTGGGATGCAATAACATAAATCAGTCTGACTAAGCACAGTTCCACATGATGTAACCGGTGGCTTGCTCAGAGGAATCGCAGATCCTTTGTCTAAGCATTTGGAGCAAAGGTTTAGGATTAGGAGTCTTGTTTCTGCATGAACTGGGGTGATGTTGCCTGGTTGGCTTGACTTCTCCATATATTTTTCCTGTTTCATATCTGATACAGCGTTTGCACTAAAGCAACTGCATTTTGCAGGAAGCTTCAGTGAGACAAGATCTAAGCAACAAAAGCTATTTTTATACTACTAACTAAATTGTGCGAGGGCACGAGCACTGTCGCTGAATCATTTATGACCCTAAGTTAACCTGTTCCTGGCACAGTGTGGCCTGGGCCAACTGCACTCTCCCAGACCATCTCCAGACAGGGTTCAGAAGTTAGCACGGACCAGAAACCTTTCTGAATAGGCAGTCTGGATACGTCCAACCAGTGCGGCTGCAAGAGCTTGAAGAATATGGAGAGGCCCATGCAAAACTGGTAAGCTGATTTAGAGGGGGTTTCATTTCACGTGCTTGTCCACTTCCTTCCAACTTAGTAACAATGACATCAGGAACAGGCCCTGGCACTTGGTTTATCAATGTAGATTGAAGCAAAAGCTCCACAGCCTGCTCGAGGTAAAGCACGTGAGGTTAGACAAAGCGTTAGGTTAGGCACAGGAGGAGGGATGGCCAGACACGTATGCAGGTCCTACGCAGTGCTGGGAGTGGTTCTTACGGAGGAAGGCATGAGGAAGGAGTAAAGAGACCAGGAGTAAAAGAAAACGAAGGGAAGTACGTTTCTGCAGGGCTAAAGGAAGACAGCTGCAGCACATAGCGAGAGCAAGGAAGAACCCACAGGCTTTCAAACGTATCAAAACCGTTGGTGCAAACAGGAGTTTTGATAGCCGAAGCAGCGAGCAGGGAACATGAATACTGAGAGCACGGAAGAGGCTGGTCATCTTTACTCCCAAGTGCCACTGTATTTTTCCCATGCCACTTCTTATGGGAAACTCCTTAAAAAAAACACCTGCAAAGCCATTAAATTACCATGATTCAGGATTTTCCTTAGAAGTCCTTCCTGTCATGGTATTTACAAAACACTTCAGAAGTACGAGGCACCTGATGCTGAGCGTGGCTTACTACTCCAGCCGCAACTTCCTGGCGCTCCCCAGCTTGTTAAACCATGGCTCTTCCTTGCAAGCATCCCTTGTAAGCTCTGTTCGCGGGCAGCCTGCGTGCCCTTAGGCATAAGGACAAGGATGTGGACAAAATTAGGGACAAGGCACACAACGAGAGGGAAAAGAAAAGGAAGCAAGAAGGCAGTCTTGCATTAGGTGCATTAGTAGTATGAGAAAGATGAATCACTATACATCAGGGAATGAATGGTTGTATCAGAGAAAAAAACCCTAAGCATTTAATGCACTTCTTGCTTCAGTCTTCATTTCAAAGATCAGCTCTGATCTGGTGGCTAACAACAAATGTCAGTGAAAACGAGCTGGGAACTTAGGCTGAAATAAGAAAATAGTAGATTACAGATAACTTATGTAAGCCAGGAGTTTTCAAATCAGCTGGGTCTAATTAAATTCACACTGAAGTACATGGGCCAGTTGGTAAAGAAATCTCAGAGCAGCTAGTGAGTACTTTTGAGAGTTTGTAAAGAATAGGCAAGGTGTCCAGAACATAGGAACAGCACAAACATAAGGATTATCTTTCAAAAGGCAGAAAGGTATTATGAAATTACTCAGGTAATTATCTACACAACCTAACTTCAGCTCCTGAACAAGTCCACAAAATATATTTGTAAGTATCTACAGGATAACACAGGTGAAAAATAACAGCCAACATGGTTTTGTCCAAATAAATCATGTCAAACCGACTTAATTTTCTTCTAAGACAGGGTAGAGACCTTGCAGGCATGGAGGAGGAGGCAAGAGCTATGATATATTCAGAGGCTTTGGTGAAACTTTTTGACATAGGGTTAGTATGACACTTTCATAAGCAAGCTAGGGAAGTGCTGCCTTTCTGAAAACAGTTATAAGATGATTCATCATCAATCTGGAAGAACGTGGTTTCTGCAGGGAGTCCAGATTTGGTACAACTGACTATTTTCACTCACTTTGAATGAAGGAATAGAAAATATATTTACTAAATTTGCAGAAAATGCTTCTCTCTGTGAAGCAGAGAGGAAAACGGGAGGACTGGTCTGAAATAACTAACTGAAATCCAGTAAGCACTAGCACCAGTGGCAGCTCTAAAGTTTTTTGGCTGGCGGGCGTCTCAGGCGCAGTATGCTTCCACCTCCAGGATGTTGTGGTGCTCAGCTTGGTGCTTAGCACAGGAGAGAAATAAGATGTTAGCAAGGGTTAAAAAGCTCTGGGTGGATTCCACTGTCCCCACAACTAAAGCTGGTTAGTACATCCCTGGTTAGCACAAAGCACTACACTGACACAAGAAGGTGAGTAAATCCTGGTCCTACAGAAAAGGATGCAGAGGCGACAAGAGATCACTGATGCTGAGTTAACAGTGCTGTATTTTTCCAAAAGGAACAAACCGTGGGGATGTAGAGACAGAAATGTCATTAGTAACCCTTCATGCCAGCACTCACAAGGCTTTAGATCAGACGTGTGAGCAATGCTGGGCACCGCTTTTCAAGCAAGAAAGGGGCCGTTTGGAAAAAAGATCCAAAGAAATCAATAGGAATGATATGAAAACATGAAAGATTGAAAGAAATAGGGTGGTTTCCATTTAGGGTTAGAAAACTGTGGAGGGAGGTAATAACGATCTTCCAGGACAAAAAAAAACCATTGCCACAAAAGAACGAGACTGTTCTATTTCATATGCCAACAGGAGATGGGACAAAAACGTGTGGTCTTTAAAACACAGCAGCACCGAGGTAGTTTCGAATTTAGGAAAACCTTTGCAAGACTGCAAGGATAATAACACACTAGAATAGTTTAAACATGTATGATATAGAATTGCTTTCACTAGAGATTTTTAAGAACAGATTAGACTAACAACCGTCTAGAGGAGTTTATGAGGTAGTTAATCTTGCTTTAGGGCAAAGGATGACTGAATAACCTCTGAGCATCTTTTCCCAACCTATTTTCTATGGTGCTGTGATTGGAAATTATTGCAAGGCTGCAATTTGAGTGTCTAGGAGGCTAACAGAATTCTGGGCAGCGCTGGAGGAGCTGAAGAAAAGCTGAGATTCGGAAGAAAGCTAGAAAGGCTGGTTTTGCCACGTTTAATTTATCCCTCCCCTCCCACCCAAGACAGATCGTGAGCAGATCTGAAGAGCTATGCACCTAGGTAGCATGGAGAAAACAAAAGGGGAAAAAACGATAAATTATAAGCACCACTATGCAGTCTGGCAGGTTATTTCTTCCAGAGGACTTCAGAAATCATGCAGGAAAGGTGTGGAGAAGGTCAAAGGACTGTTTCACGCCAAGTAGAACTGCCAAAAAAATTCTGAAATGTCAGCTTGGGCAATGCACGTGGCTTATACAGGACTTCAGGGAGGAAAAAATGCTCCAGTCACCAACAATACTCTTTCCTTGCAAATTCTGCACTGTCTGTTTTAGGATATTCAAGTCCCAGGGCCATTTGACTTTACCTACACCAACAGCAAAGCAGAGCCTCGGTCACAAGAGCAGCTGCTATTTTGGCTTAATAAACATGAACATTTGCTCAGTGTTTGTTTCTCTCTTCTGTCTCACACTTGCCCCCTGCACGTAATGGTAATAGGACATGATCACCTGGAGAACAGGCACAAAGTTTTGTGCAGCACTTGGAGGCTCTTAGCTATTGCACTCCATGAATATCAATGACTCTAGTTCATAATGCTTGCAATGCAGAAAACAGCCAGGAATATCTATGTTTTCCAGCTTAATGTGATTTTGTTTTGTTGTTTGGTTGTTGTTTGGGGTTTGTTTGTTTGTTTTTTACAAATATCTGCTCTAATTTCTGTGATGACAGGATTCAGTGGATTTAGCAGCAAACAGAATCTTTCTCAAATACAAAATCCCATGATTTCCTTGGAATAACCATCCTTTACTCTCCTATAGGAATATACAGAAACAATGAAGTTTTTATAAGAAACCTGAACCAGGTTATATAAATATCGTTTTAAAGACCTATATCCCATCTACCAACAGTTCAGAAGAGATTATATTTTTTTACTGAAATCTATAAAATCTGGGGTGAATTCATTAGCCTAATTGTGGGGTTTTTTTCCTATCACATTTTATAGGACTTCTTCTGTGGTATATCTGAAATTTATCCTAAGATTTGTATGGCTCTAAATGGAGGCATTTGCATTTTCAATAAGGACTATGAATAAGTAAAATTTTAAAGTGGCCAAACATTCACAACTCACCTTTGAAGGAAAATGCCCATAGAGGCTAATTCTCCCTCCGTGACTGCAGTGTCCAAGTGCAGAAAAATATGTTTGAGGGGCCAAAGAGCTACAAGCACGATATAGTCTAACGGGTCAAGGGAGGTATAAGCTGAAGTAACAAAGACATATATATTAGAGATATACTTATTGGGTGGCCAGTTTGTTGTTGTGAAGATCTGGAACCCACGGAAGTGGAGTAGCTACTCATAACTTACATAAATCCTGACATAGCCCCCAGCGTTCAGATTCTACTATAGACAGAAATCTCTTCAAAGACAGGGGTTGAAAAAGTTGCAGAGGTGTCAGCAGG